TATTTCTAACTATTTAAACCATTTAATAACCCGATCCGTTAGAAATATATTATTTTAATGATTTCATTATTTTTTTCAACTGAATTTACTAACATGAATTTTTTATTTCTAACCATTTTTTAAAAAAAATAAAAGGATATTCATTTAAACCAATTAATTAATTTAACTATAGCACTCTAAAATCAACAACATGTAAAGAGCATTTTACAAAAAAAAAACATATAAAGACCAAATCTTAATTTACTTAACGGTAGGAGAAACATAATTAACAAATTCAAGTCAGTTTTTTTTAATCACTTCTTTTTGTTCCTTCATTATGTATCATTGTTACTAAAAATTTGAATTTACTAAAAAAGTAATTTTGTAATTTCTATATTTTATGAATAATGCATGGAGATCGCTGTATTCACACACAATTGGAGAAAAGGGGTAAAATAAAAGGTAATATATTATATTTGTAGCGGATCGAGTTATTAAATGATTTAAATGAATATCTTTTTATTTTTTAAAATTTTAGTAAGTAAATAAAATTTTCATGTTTGTAAGTTTAATGAAAAATATTAATTAAATAGATTGGGTGACTTTGTAAGTAAAACATTCATAGTTGAGTGACTTTGCAAGTGAAACACTCATAGTTGAGTGACTTTTGAAATAAAAACCAAAGTTGAGTGACTTTCTGAGAAAAAAACTCATAGTTGAGTGACTTTTGAGTTAAAAACCAAGTTGAGTGACTTTCTAAGAAAATAGTGCATAGTTGAGTGACCATCTGAGGTATTAACTCCAATAAATGTGGAAAGAAATTAATGTGGTGGAAAAGAGAGTAGTATTAAAGTGAGATCAAATACTAAACAAGGATAATTTAGTCAAATTACGCTTTTAATTAATGTTTTCTTATAGAGCGTGCAAAAAGAATGACAAGTAAAATGAAACGGAATGAGTACTAGAAGTAACAGGGCCAAAAGGCTCCTAGAAAGCATAGGACCTTAAGTACACGTATTAACATGATTAAGATATATTCTTCACTAGCTGGTATAGCTTCTAATTTTTTTCTTCCATTATGTTGTATCTTTCGCTTAAGTTTGCATTGATTACTCACTATAATTCCAGATTCTCAGTTGTTGGATCCGTTACCGGAGCTTCATCCCTTGAGGTTTAAGGATGTACCAATTCCTGCTTTCAATAATACAGTTGCAGAACACATACTAGACTTCTTTAGAGCAATGAGTGATATAGGATCATCTGTCGCGACTATTTGGAACACGATGCAAGACTTGGAGAGTTCAATGTTATTACGCCTTCAAGAGCATTACAAGGTGCCCTTTTTTCCAATAGGCCCTTTACACAAAATGGCACCTTTGGCCTCATCGACTAGCATACTAGAAGAAGACAATAGCTGCATCGAGTGGCTCGATAGACAAGCCCCTAATTCTGTTCTCTATGTCAGCTTGGGTAGCCTAGTGAGGATTGATGACAAAGAGCTAATTGAGACTGCTTGGGGATTAGCTAATAGTGATCAACCCTTCTTGTGGGTTATTCGACCTGGCTCTGTCTCTGGCTTTCAATGTCCTGAGGTACTGCCTGATGGTTTTGAGAAAATGGTAGGAGAAAGAGGACGAATAGTGAAATGGGCACCACAAAAACAGGTGCTTGCACATCCCGCGGTAGCAGGCTTTTTCACTCATTGTGGTTGGAATTCTACGCTTGAAAGTATTTTGGAGGAAGTCCCTTTGATATGCAGGCCATTTGTAGCAGACCAGCCGGTGACAGCTAGGTATCTGAGCCAAATATACAAGGTTGGGTTCGAATTGGAGGTTATCGAGAGAACGGTCATAGAGAAAACAGTAAGAAAACTCATGTTAAGTGAAGAAGGCAAAGATGTGAAGAAAAGAGTAGTAGACATGAAACAAAACATAGTTGCTGCTATGCAGATTGATGGTACTTCACATAAGAATCTGAATGATTTGGTAGACTTCATTTCTGCGTTGCCATCAAGACCCGCTCCACCAACACCTGTTTTTGGGGCAATCATGAGCTCAAACCATATAACAAGCAAGTGTATCATAGAGTCTGGAAGTAATTTTTGAGCTCAAACCATATATTTGTGGCCTGTTAGCTTGGCAAGACAACAAGTCCTTAATCACAAAACGAAGAATAAGATAAGAAGTGAACTTTTACTTAATGCTGAAGCAGTTTAATTTAGTTTGTTGATTAATTTTATAAGTTGGGAACTTTGACATATTGTTTCCTAGTTGGTAGGACAATATTTTCGTGGAAAATAAATGATTTGCTTACTTATTTTCTGGTGTTTGATTAGTAAAGAATATTATTGTCCCACGAGTATCTTTGTACACCTAGACCTGGAACCACCCTATAACATATATAGACCCGGACTTGACTCGACCCGACCTCACCCCAACACTGACCTAAACCAAAACCCTGACCTCAACACCGACTCAAAACTTGATCCTCGACCAAACCCTGACCTAACCTTAACCTAGGACCTGACAACTGACCCCATGCCACGAACTGCAACCCGAAGTTAACTCTGGACCTAACCTCAACCCAGATCCATGACTCCATCCAGAGACCTCAACCCCGACTCCTGACCCAAATCTCAAATCTCGATCCCAATCCCGGGTCCCAACTTGACCCAAGAGTATTTATTGATTTTGTTTTCAACTCATTTGACATTCGATATTTATATGGACATTATAAGTGAGTAACTGTTGGAATAAAAATCAAAATTGGTGATTAGTGAATTTTTCTGAAGTCCGTGGGGTAAATGCTGAAGCAATATAGCAGCCTGCTATAATCATAAAACTTTCTTATTTTAGTCTGTTGATTTGTTTAATAAGTTGGGAACTTTGACATATTGTTTGCTAGTTGTTAGAACTGAGATATATTTACTCTTTGTTATCCCTATGTTAAAAATATAATATGGAGGGAGCTATGGTTGTGTTTGGTATGAATGAATATATTTTCCTAGAAATCATTTTTGTGGAAAATAAATGGTTTTCTTACTTATTTCTTGGTGTTCGGTTAGTTTAAAGTTCAAATCACGGCACTTTTTTTTTTTTCTTTTAATGATTTCTCGGTCTTCTAAGTTAGTAGTCAGGCTAGTCGCATTTAAAGAAGACCTGAATGATTCAGGGTTAAATACTTCAATCCCATTAGGCTACTCTAAGAAAGAACCTGGGACTAAAGTAGGATCAATATCCAGCAGTGAAATTTCAACCCTATTGGCATCAATGTGCTCCATATCTACCAATTTTTCTTCGTATACCAACAAATCATATACACTCCACCCTTAATCTCTAATTAACTCGAACCCTTAATCTCTAATTAAAAGTTAGGCACTTACCACTCCACCACAATCTTTATTGGTAAAAGAGAAAGAGTTATGGTATTCATGAATGGAGTGGAAATTATGAGATAAGGGGTTATGTAACTCTTAAATGAATAAAAGTTACAAGTCTCAACATTGTCCTAGTAAGGACTTAACAAGACTTCATAGTCTCCATAGTGATCGTGTAAGAAAATGCTAAGGAAATTGGTGGTGATAACACACTCAATTATAGAGAAAAAGGTATGTATTATTTCGTATAAATCTCCGAGTATAAATCCTTCACAATTCAATCTAGGGAAGAGAAAAATTATAGAAGATAATCATAATATCAGCTAATACATATAGTAGCCTAGACATAATTTCACCAAGAAGGTTCAACATATATTATATATAAATAAATTAAAAGATAGAAAAATCGAACCTTCATATAACTAAAAATTCAAGTAATTAACCAACAAAATTATTAGAATAAAAAAACATTTTAAAAACATGCACATCAATTTTTCTTGATATGAGCGTCTCACCGTGAATACTTAATTATATTGGACTAGAAGACTTTACATATATAAAGACAAACAGCACCAATTCCAAGATTGAGGGCTTACTTGTGGATCTCGTTACTCATTTTTTTGGGATTGAGAATGGTGAGTTGTTCCAATTCATTACCCCTCATTCAATACTTTCTTTTCTGTTTCTAATTACTTATTTATTTTATTTTATTAGTTATTTTTAATTACTTATTTATTTTGACAAATCAAGAAAGGATAAACAAAAATTCTATTATATTCTCAATTAATCACTTTGAAAAAAGTAGAACTTCTTGAAAATGTTAAATCTTTAATTCATCCACTTCATAATTAATAGAAGTAAAATAGTAAACTTACTATATCAATAATTATTTTCTTAATAGGTATGTCAATTCAAAAGTGAACAAATAAAATCTCCCAAGGAGTATCAAGTAGCAGGTCAAAACAATTTATAACAAATAAAAACAAAAGGTACAATTAATATTGATAGATTTTTAGTAAAAATACGAGATCTGAGCTAAAGCTACTTGATTAACATTAACCCAAAACTTTAATGCTAGATCCGCCCTTGCTGGTCAAGAGTCCCAAAATTTGAGAGCTATACATAAACTTCCTTCAAGAAAACTAGTACCTCGTACTACTAAACTTTTGAATAGAAGAGAAATTCCAAGAAAACAAAGATGAAAGTAGAAAGAAAACAGAGTGTAGTACTAGTGCCATTCCTACTCCAGGGGCATTTAACACCAATGCTGCAGCTTGGAAGTATCCTTCATTCACAAGGCTTTTCTGTTATAGTAGCACATACTCAACACAATGCTCCTAATTATTCCAATCATCCTGAATTCGTCTTCCATTCTATGGATGACGGATTAAAGGGAATGGACATGTCATTCCCGGGTTTAAAGAGTATATATCGTATGAACGAGAGCTGTAAGGCGCCCCTGAGAAACTACCTTGTTAGGATGATGGAAGAGGAAGGTGATCAGCTCGCTTGTATCATTTATGACAGCATCATGTTCTTCGTCGATGATGTAGCTACTCAGCTCAGACTTCCCAGCATTGTCCTGCGCACTTACAGTGCTGCGTATTTGGACTCTATGATCACCATTTTACAGCAACCAGAAAAATATTTTCCTTTTAAAGGTATGAGAACAATTACTTCAACATTTAACTGAAAAATCATTTCAAATTCAATAATATAGCAATAACTACGCGTCAGCCCCAAACAAGTTGGGGTTGGCTATGTAAATCTCACTAACCATGTTCCCTATTTACATTCATTTCAAGCACCGATGATTATAGAATAAAAAAGGAAATGAAAAGTACTCCTTCCATTCGATTTTACTAAAAATAGATGGTCAATAGACTATAATCTTTTTCTTACATTATGTTGTATCTTTTGCTAAGTCTGCATTGATTACTCACTTTCAAGTCCAGATTCTCAACTGCTGGATCCGTTACCAGAGCTTCATCCCTTGAGGTTTAAGGATATACCAATTAATGTCGTTAATAATACAGTTCAAGCACCGATACTAGACTTCAGCAGATCAATGAGTGATATAGGATCATCTGTTGCGACTATTTGGAACACGATGCAAGACTTGGAGAATTCATTGTTGTTACGCCTTCAGGAACATTACAAGGTGCCCTTCTTTCCAATAGGACCTTTTCACAAAATGGTGCCTATGGCCTCATCGACTAGCATACTAGAAGAAGACAACAGCTGCATCGAGTGGCTCGACAGACAAGCTCCTAACTCTGTTCTCTATGTCAGCTTAGGTAGCCTAATGAGGATTGATGACAAAGAGCTAATTGAGACTGCTTGGGGATTAGCTAATAGTGATCAACCCTTCTTGTGGGTTATTCGACCGGGCTCTGTCTATGGTTTTCAATGTGCTGAGGCACTCCCTGATGGTTTTGAGGAAATGGTAGCAGAAAGAGGACGGATAGTGAAATGGGCACCACAAAAACAGGTGCTTGCACATCCCGCGGTAGCAGGCTTTTTCACTCATTGTGGTTGGAATTCTACACTTGAAAGTATTTTGGAGGAAGTCCCTTTGATATGCAGGCCATTTCTAGCAGACCAACCGGTGAACGCAAGGTATCTGAGCCAAATATACAAGGTTGGGTTCGAATTGGAGGTTATGGAGAGAACGGTAATAGAGAAAACAATAAGAAAACTCATGTTAAGTGAAGAAGGCAAAGATGTGAAGAAAAGAGTAGTAGACATGAAACAAAACATAGTTGCTGCAATGCAGATTGATGGTACTTCACATAAGAATCTGAATGATTTGGTAGACTTCATTTCTGCGTTGCCATCAAGACCCGCTCCACCAACACCTGTTTTTGGGGCAATCATGAGCTCAAACCATATAACAAGCAAGTGTATCATAGAGTCTTGAAGTGAACATTTCTCAAGTCCATGAGGCAAATGCTCAAGTTACTATAGAGTCTTGTCAACTACTTTCTCATTTTAGTTTGTTGATTAGTATAATAAGCTGGGAACTTTGACATATTGTGTTCCTAGTTGTTAGAACTGAGTTAGATTTCCTCTTTATTAGCCCTATGTTACTACTTCCATATGCTTTGCTTGAAAATATAAGACCTTAGTATACAACAAGAGAGCAAGTAAAACAAAAGTTGTGTTTGGTATGAAGGTCCTACGAAAAAGAAAAGTTTGTTACTTATTTTCTGGTATTTGGTTACTAAAAAAAAAGGGAAAAGGCTCAAATATATCATCGAACTTTGAGAAAATGCTTATATATGATATTTGTTAAAAGTTTGTCTCATTTATATTATTTCAGTTAACAAACATTTGCATGGATAGGTCTTTTCTCAAACGAAAATGACATAGACTCATGTATTGCTCGTTTGAATTTGTATCAATCAGCATCAGGCTTGTTTCTTGAAGAAGGAATGAGAAAAGTTTTCCTAGTGTCTTTTAGAAGAGAATTAGGATACATAGTGCATCAATTTATGTGTAGGTCAGGTGTATGTCACGGTTCAAATTTTGAACAGTCTATTGGCCAAACTTTTGGAAGGTCAAAAGTGCTTTTTCTTAAATTTTTGCTCATCTTCAAAAAATTGCTTAAGGTGTTTGGCAAGCTTTATGGAGGGACAATAAGTGCTTCTAAAGAATAACAAAAGTTGTTTTTCATAACATACTCCCTCCGTCCCTATTTAGTTGTCCACTTTAGAAATGACACACAGATTAAGGCAACAATGATTAGCATAGTGAAGTTACAATTTTACTTTTATAGTACAATTTACAATTCGAAAATAAATTAACTCAAGATAACTAATCAATGTTGGGAAGTTCATAAGTTTATTTACTTTATTTATGACAACTTTATTTAAATAAGGGTATAATAGAAAAAAATTTGTTGTCCTTTCTTGATTTGTCAAAATGGACAACTAAATAGGAATAACTAAAAGAGGAAATATGGACAACTAAATAGGGACGGAGGGAGTATAAAATAGTTTCTACCCAAAATCCCTCTTAATTTGAAGAACACTTTTTGAGAAAAAATTACACTTAGAAACATTTAAAAAAGTTCAGTCAAACACAAATTATTGTCTTTTAACTTTATAATCAACACAAAAGACTTCTCACCTAAAGTATTTTTTTTAAAAAAATATTTACAAAATAAGCTCATTTTTCTAAATACTTTTTTGACCTACCTCACCCTTCCGCGTATTCCTACCATTAATCTCTCGACTCTCGCACCTCCTCGGGTGTTACAGCACCTCCCTCTGCACATGTTAAAATACATGCACATCAACTTTTCTTGATATTATTGTCTGGCCCTTGAATACTGACTAAAAGACATACATATTAAAGACACAAACAGTACCATTTTACACCCTTTTGTGATTGGGATTGGTGAGTTGTCCCAATTTTATCACCACTCATTCAATATCAAGTAGCAGGCTTCAAAATGTGAAATTTGTACCTCTTATATTCTAATTTATGTATCATAATTTAAATTTCAAGAGTCAATAATTTTATTTTGGATATAGATTTTTTAAGTTTTTTGAAACAAAATTAACATGTTTAAAAACTACGCAAAAAATGTTATAGTCACAATATTTGTAATTCAAAATATATGAAAAAATTATGGTCAAAGAAAGATTTATTTGAATTTTAAAATAAAAAAAATGTTACATAAATTGAAATGGAAAAAGTGGATTTTTATAACGAATTCAATTTAGTATATAATAATAACTGAATCTAAAGTTAATATTTATAAATATTTACTACTCTCTCCGTTCCTTTTTATATGTCATCCCTTTTTATAAATAATTGGTTCATAATACTTGTCATTTCATAAAATCAATGCATAAATTAGCATATTGTTCTTTTTTTACCCTTGTGAGAATAGCCTTGAAAATATACATTTGACCAACTTAGAAAAGCTAAGTAAATGATTCATGTTCATTGGTTAAATAAATTAATTTATATTCATTGATTGAAAACTTGAATTCCAAAAAAATTAAAAAAAAGGTAGAAGGGTTAAATTACATTATTTCTTAATACTAATGTAAGTAAAAATGTGACATATAGAAAGCAATGGAGGGGGTAGTAAATTTCTTAGTACAAATACATAATGAAAGAAAAAGTTATTAGGTTCACGTTAACCTAAAATACTTTTTTTTATGTTTGAGAGGTATATATAAACCTCCTTCAAGAACACTACTAAACTCTTGAATAGGAGAGAAATTCCAAGAAAACAAAGATGAAAGTAGAAAGAAAACAGAGTGTAGTACTAGTGCCATACCTTCTCCAGGGGCATTTAACACCAATGCTGCAGCTTGGAAGTATCCTTCGTTCACAAGGCTTTTCTGTTATAGTTGCACATACTCAACACAATGCTCCTAATTATTCCAATCATCCTCAATTCGTCTTCCATTCTATGGATGACGGATTAAAGGGATTTGACATGTCATTCCCGAGTGTAGAGAGTATACATTGTATGAACGAGAGCTGTAAGGCGCCCTTGAGAAATTACCTCGTTAGGATGATGGAAGAGGAAGGTGATCAGCTCGCTTGTATCATTTATGACAACGTCATGTTCTTTGTCGATGATGTAGCCACCCAGCTGAAGCTTCCCAGCATTGTCCTCCGCACTTTCAGTGCTGCATGTATGCACTCTATGGTCACCATTTTTCAGCAACCAGAAAAATATTTTCCTTTTGAAGGTATGAGAACAAACACATCCTCTGCTTCAAGAATTAAATGAAAAAATATTATGAATAACAATAACTATGCTTCAGTCCCATACAAGTTGGGATCGGTTATATGATTCCCTGTTGATCATGTTCCCTACTTGCATTCATCTCAAGCAAACATCATAGAGAATAAAAATAGAAATGAAAAGTACTCCTTCCAGTTCTTCTTTACCATGGTCCAAAATAGTTGTCATTTTAGAAAATCAAAATATGATTAACTACTAGTTTTTAGTTAATGTTTTCTTAAGGGGCGTGAAAAGAAAAGGTCAAGTAAAATGGAATGGAGTGAGTACTAGAAACAACAGGGACACTTAAACATTTTTATTCCATTATGCTCTATATTTCGCTAAATTTGCATTTGATTACTCACTACAATTTCAGATTCTCAGTTGCTGGATCCATTACCGGAGCTTCATCCCTTGAGGTTTAAGGATGTACCAATTCATGTCATCAATAATACAGTTCCAGAACCGGTATTAGATTTCTATAAAAGAATAAACGATATAGGATCATCTGTTGCGACTATTTGGAACACAATGCAGGACTTGGAGAATTCAATGTTGTTACGCCTTCAAAAACATTACAAGGTGCCTTTTTTTCCAATAGGCCCTTTTCCCAAAATGGTGCCTTTGGCCTCATTGACTAGCATACTAGAAGAAGACAACAGCTGCATTGAGTGGCTTGATAGACAAACCCCTAACTCTGTTCTCTATGTCAGCTTGGGAAGCCTAGTGAGGATTGATGAAAAAGAGCTAATCGAGACTGCTTGGGGATTAGCTAACAGTGAGCAGCCTTTCTTGTGGGTTATTCGACCTGGCTCTGTCTCTGGCTTTCAATGTGCTGAGGCACTGCCTGATGGTTATGAGGAAATGGTAGGAGAAAGAGGACGAATAGTGAAATGGGCACCACAAAAACAGGTGCTTGCACATCCCGCGATAGCAGGCTTTTTCACACATTGTGGTTGGAATTCTACGCTTGAAAGTATTTGTGAACAAGTCCCTATGATATGCAGGCCAAGTTTAGCAGACCAACTGGTGAACGCGAGATATCTGAGCCAAATATACAAGGTTGGATTTGAATTGGAGGTTATGGAGAGAACGGTCATAGAGAAAACAATAAGAAAACTCATGTTAAGTGAAGAAGGCAAAGATGTGAAGAAAAGAGTAATAGACATGAAACAAAACATAGTTGCTGCTATGCAGATTGATGGTACTTCACATAAGAATCTCAAAGATTTGGTAGACTTCATTTCTGCCTTGCCATCACGGCTCCCTCCGGCAACGCCTGTTGTTGGGGCAATCATGAGTTCAAACCATACACCAAGCAAGTGTATCATAGAGTCCCGAAGTTAGAATAATTACATATTTTTGTTGCCTGCTAGCTTGGCAAGACAACAAGTCCTTTAATCACAAAGGAAGAATAAGACTAGACATAAGCTTTTCTTAATATCTTGGTGGCTATGTCAAGGCCATTGGGCCAATGCTAGTTTCTCACCTTAGCTTATTGATTTTGGTTTAATATGTTTGGAAACTTTGACATATTGTTTCCTAGTTGTGAGAACTGAGTAATATTACCTCTTAGCATTTATGATAAATTGTTGCTCCGTAGTTTTTTCCCTATGTTTACTACTTGTCTACTACTCTACTTCCAAATACTTTGCTTGAAAATAATAGACTTATATACGTAGTATACAAAGCGATTTGGTAGGGTATATAAAAATAATGCTCAATTAAGTGTATTAATAATGTTTATATTAGTTATACTTGTATTAATCTTACACAAATTATTTCTTACGTATTATTTTGTTTGGAGTATTAAAAATAATATGCATTGCATAGAAATATTTATTTACAAAAATATCCTTTACAATTATGATGAAAAAAATATAAAAAGGATTTTGAGGGGTAATTGAGTTTTTAACCATGCTAATGCATGCATTAAATCTCTTGCATTACTAATAACTAGAAATTCATGGTATTAATAAGGGAAAAGGGTCAAAAATACCCCTCAATTTTGGTTTATAGTTTGACTTTACCCTCGCCGTCAAAATGAAGTTAATTTTACCCCTCCCGTTACTAATTTCACCAAAATTACCCCTCATTTGATGGAATCCCCAAAATTGACCCAAATTATCCGAATTTTTAAAAAAAAAAACCCTATTCCCAATTTTAACCCAATGCCCCGACCTGCCCCGACCCTCTAGAGGATAACCCATTCCCCTTTTGCCCACTCTCTCAAATTCTCCATGTAACTTCTCCTCCATTGCTCTTCATTTCTCTTCCCTCTAATTCGGAATCAAACTCTACGTTCATCTCCACAAGTTTCTTCCTTTCTCGTTTCTCGGAATCCAAAAACTCCATTGAATCCACACTCTCTCGCATCCGTCAGACGCCCGATCCACATTTCAATCTGACTCTTAAATCCGAGCTCGACAACGTCTCAATATCCATTGCAGATCTCGAAAAACTCGTCGCTGAAAACTCATTTTCCCTACCGTCCTACGAAGTCCGTACATGCCTCAAAACTATAACCGATCTAAAATAATTAGTCGAACAGGTTACGTGCGAAGTAATCCCAAGGAAGAAATTCTCTTTCAAAAACGAATCAACGAAGAAAATCACAACGCAAAACAACATCATATCAGAAGTTCCAAATGTGGAATCAAAGGATTCAGTGTTAAGGGTTTTGGATTCGCGAGGATTTAGGGGCAAAAAAAATGAGGTATTAGTGAAGGAATTCGATAGGGGTAATGATGAAGAGATCAGGGAATTTGTTTTATCAGATTTAAAGGGTTGAGATGTGAGATTAATGGGGGAGTGTGAGGGCATTGTTTGTGCATAAACTGATTGATTAAGGTATATGTTGGACCTGTTTTTGGGGCAGTGTTGATTGAAGAAGTAACGAATTGTGTGTTCGTTATGGCTTCACATCAGATTCGAATTCATCAAGCTAAAAAATGTGATTTTTATCTTCGAGTGAGGAGTAGGCCGATTATCGAGAATAGTGATGGTGTAAGGTTTGCACCATATTGCTTAAAGTATGAAGGGATTGAGAAGGATCTTGAGGAAGCTAATCTTGGTGAAGAGACAGGGAATTGGTCGAATGTAGATGATTTTAAGTGGTTAAGAGCAGTGTAGTCTTCAAATTGGTCAATTTTGCCGGTAAATGAATGTGTTAGCACAGTTGATATTGAAGAACAATCAGAGGGAAGAGAAATGAAGAACAATGGGTTATCCTCTAGATGGGTCGGGGCAGGTCGGGGCATTGGGTTAAAATTGGGAATATGGTTTTTTTTTTTTTAATTTGGGTAATTGGTCATTTGGGGTTCCGTCAAATGAGGGGTAATTTTGGTGAAATTAGTAACAGGAGGGGTAAAATTAACTTCATTTTGACGGCGAGGGTAAAGTCAAACTATAAACCAAAGTTGAGGGGTATTTTTGACCCTTTTCCCTATTAATAATACATACCTTAATACACAATAACATTATTTCTACACAACATAAAAATATATACCAAAAAATTACTCATACACCAAATTAATACATTCATTATTTTTATTAATATACTCTATCAAACGACCCCTAAACATATTGGTATTGTAGCATACAATGAGACCAACTGAGCAGGTAAAAGACCATATATATTCGAACAGGACTGAGTGAAGTGAACATACCTTTACAATTTGAATATAAGAAAATAATTCTACAAAAAATAATTATAAGCTATTTTCAAAATTTTCATGTGTAAAAGCAAAAAAACACATAAAACTAAAAACAAATTTGTAATGGTATTACAAGTGTAAAATTGCATTATAGTAATTTATAAGATAAAAATATATTGAATTCATATGTTTATTTGAATTTATATTTAAAAAAATTGGTCCCTTTTTTTTCTCTGGGCCTTTTATCCCAAACAGTGTCCAGCAAAACCCTAGCCCCCAAGTCCCTCTGTATATAAAGAAGCACAACTCTGTTCAGAATTCAAACCCTAGCATAGCTCAACTATGGCGGAGCAGCCGTCGTACCTTCTCATCTATCTCCTTTCAATCGAATTGATTGAGTTTTACTTGCTTTTTTTTTGTTTTGTTTTGTAGTTTTGCAGTTTTGCCTTCCTTTTTGAATGTGCAAAAGCATTGGTACATGATCCTAAATGATGAAGACTTTAAATGAGGCTATGGATTAACATCCAAATGAAGCTTTTTTTTGTCATAGTTACTCTGATAGGATGTTTTCCATCTCCATTTTTGTTTGTTTCTAGTTTTCTGTGCAATTATCATAGTTTGTTAGGTTGTATAGATCATGGAAGATCTAATCTGTGTTTTTGATGTCTATTAATTATGCTGATAAACATTTTGATTGAGTCTAGAGTTTATCAGAAATAGTCTGCGTACCTTCTATACACTTGTGAGAATGATGAAGGGCAACTTTGCCGAGGTGATCTTTTATTGTAGATTTTCCTCTTTTTCCCTGTTGCCAATATTGTAATTGGACAAGCTTGGAGTAGTTTTGATTGATGCCTACTTGTGGTTTTGCATCAATTGATCCTCTAGCATGCCTACATTTTTTCAAAAATTGAAGTTTTTCACTTGTATATCTCGGGAGTGTGGAATGTACACAGATCTTACCTATTGTTTCTCTGGAAATTGAAATCTTGATTGCTCGTTTTTAATGGCAACTTTGCCGAGGGTATCTGTTACTGTTGATTCCCTCTTTTTCCCTGTTGCCAACATTTAAATTAGTTGAAGCTTGGATTAATTTTGGTTGATGGATATATTTGTGTATGATGATACCAACCACTTCC